TATAATAGGAAACAAAAGTTATAAAAGTTATCATTTAAAAAAACTTCAAAAGTCCTATGTTCACATTGTAGTTAATATAAGTTTTAGCATTTATAATTATTAGATTGTTAGTAAAAACATTGTAGAGACATGTTAACGTTAGTATGTTATGATAGTAAAATTACAAGAATAATCAAACAATCACTCTTTTTTATTTTAAAAAACAAAAAGAATACATTGTCTTATTTAAATAATACCATCATTCAAATTACTTTATCTCAGTTTCCACAATTACCACCAGGTCCTCCAAAGGTAAACGTCTCCCCAAGTTCGCCACCTTGATAACCAAATGTTTTGACATCATAACAAGCTGTATTATCAACAAACAAATCCAGATCAGTTTCTTGCATATCAATCAATTAACCACCTCCAACCATAACTTTCAATTGTGCAAAGAAACATGATCTCTTGTAATGGTTGCAAATGTGGTAGGGGCATTGGTGATGCCGAAAGGCATGACTTTGAACTCATAGGCTCCATAACGCGTCACACATACGGTATTTGGCTCATCCTCTTCTGCAATTCGCACTTGGTAATACCCCGATCTCAAATCAAGCTTAGAGAAGTACTTGGCCTGTCTAAGTTGATCAAACAAATCGACAATTAGTGGAATGGGATAGTTGTTTTTTTATAGTTACCTTGTTGAGTGCCCAGTAGTTGATGCAAAGGCGAAGCGACCCATCATGCTTCTTTTGAAAGAGAACCGAAGCTCCATATAATGCTTTCGAAGGCTTGATGAATCCGGCTTCTAAGAGTTCCTTGCGTTGTCTCCGCAACTCATTTAATTCCGGTGGTGACATCTGGTATGGGGCTTTAGCGGGTGGTTTAGCTCTCGGCTCTAACTCAATCTTATGGTCCACCTCCTTCCTAGGTGGTAGGCATTTTGGCAACTCGGGCGGCATGGTATCCACACCTCCCTCATCTTCAACTCATGCACGATGGCAAGAATTGTCTCTTTTTTCGCTTAAGTTCCTTCTCAATTTGCATTGCGGAGAGTTGGTTGCTTGATACGACCTTGCTCACCGTCGGAACCATGCATGGAACTCCCTCAAGGATGCACATAGAGTTGTATCGTGGTAGGGACACCACATTGAATTTCCTGAGAAACTCCATGTCAAGAACAAGGTTAAAGTCATATAAAAGTGCAACATTTCTACATTCACCGTCTTAAGCTAGCTATCTGATTTCTCCACCGTGAGGCCTAACCGTCTTGCTTGCTATCTTTGATGAAGTTGTGGGAAGCACCTGTGTCTAACAAGGCTTGAACTTTCTTCCCATTGATGGTGGCCTCAACATGCATGAGGGACTTGTCCTAAACTTTGGGTTGTGCGAGCTTTACCTTCAAGGCATTGAGAAGTTGGAGGCACCCCATGTTGGCAATCTCGGATGCGAGTGTCTTAGGTTGCCTCTCTTCGAACATGGCATTGAAGGCCTTGCGCTTAGGGCAATCTCAGATCCAATGATCCCCATCACAAAGATAACAGTTCTCCTGGTGCTTGTACTTGCCATCCTTCCGTCATTCCTTCTTATGAGGCGACTTGTCTCCCTTTTCTCGATGGTGAGATAGTTTGTCTCCCTTCCCTCCCCCATCTTTGCCGTAATCAGGCTTGCTGACTTTTTTCGGCTTGGATGGTTCACCCTTGCGGAACTCAACAAAGGTGTCGGCTTTGGTAAGGGCGGTGGAGATGGTGGCAACTTAATGCCTTTGGAGCTCCCTTTGTGCCTAGGGTTGAAGCCCCACCATAAAATTGAATAGCAAATCTTCTGAGTTCATATTATCAACTTGAAGCATAAGTTTAGAGAACTCATCCACATACCTAGAAATAGGCCCATGTGCTTAAACTCCCGCATTTTCTTCCATGCTTCATATGCTACATTGCTCGGATAAAATTGCTTCTTGATCTCACACTTGAGCAACTCCCAAGTGTTAATGATGCACGTACCTTGTATAATTTCGGCAAGCTTTCGTTGCCACCACGCGATTGCATGATCCCTAAGATACCCAATTGCGATGTTCACTCTCTCTTGTTCAGTTTGGACACTAGTAGCTTCAAAGTACCTCTCCATGGACCATAGAAAGTTTTCTATCTCTTGGGCATCTCATTTTCCCCCATACTTCCGCGGTCTTGGAACTTCGACCCTTGCGGGAGGTGCGGCATTAGTGACCCCTTTTTGCAACCGCCTTCTTGCAAAACGCCTAATCGCCCTTACTTTCTTCTAGACCCGATCAAAGCTCTTCCACTTGAGCTTGAAATGCCCTAAGAGAGTCCAACACCATCGCTTGGAACTCCGCTAAAGCTTGGTGCTTCTCAGCAACATCTTGGCGAAACTCTCCCATGATTTCGACCATGCCTTCCACATCATCCATCTTTTGAACAAGGACATTGAGGTGCTCTTTCACTGCAGCAACCTCGTTGCGCATCACCCATGCTTTCTTGGAGGTCATCATGTCCATGGACTTGTTCTTCCCTCCTCGAGAGTTCTTCTTCAAAGGACTGGGGTTAGGATTGGACTCCTTCCCCGTTTGCTCTTCATGACAAACTTCGAACGACATCTCGAACCAAGAATCTTTTACTTTGATACTAAATGTCACGACCCGACTATTTCCCTTCAGACTCGTGTAGCCTTAGGCGCCAATCTCTTGACGATAGCCCTAAGTCAGCCTTGCTCGCTCAAGCTTCTAGCCTTAAGAATATTATGGAAAATATGTTGAAATATCAATGGTTCTAGGCTTTTTTCTAATATTATGTTGATTTTTAGAATACTCATCAACATAATATTAGAAAAAAGCCTAGAACCATTGATATTTCAACATATTTTCCATCAATTAAAATTTTCTTGAAACTAAATAGCATTATAGCTAGTATCGAAATTTTAATATAAAGAAGAATTCAGTGATTTTACTGTCAGTGATAATGAAATTATTATATACTACAAGTTGAAAAATTAAAAGCAGTAAATAACAAGTTAAAAGAACGTAGAATAAAAATATTATAAAATATCTCCAAAGTCCCCACCTGCCAATATAACTTTCCATTGAAGAAATTTATTAAGCATTCCATTATATCAAAGTGTAAATTTTAATTTTTAGTTTAAATTATTCTAAGTTTAATCCCATAAAAAAAGGAAAGGAGCTTTATTACTAATAAATTTAAGCATAAAAGAAAAAAAAAAAAAAACTTTATCAATAAAATTCATCCTAAGCAAAATTCTAAGATAAAAAAGGAAAACATCTAATGTTGTACACAATATGTGCGCTTTAATTATACCCTTTCCAAATGTAGGACGATTACCCACGTAGACTCACACCAAGTGCTCATCTAGTTATCTTAATGGTCAATGCATGTTCAATCTTCATTTCATTAATGTATATGTATTCAATGTTGTGTTACGTACATGATAAATAAGCGGATACTACTTAAAAAATAATATTTTTGTGCCTCTAAAATGTATATTGTCCCATTTATTTATTTTAAATACATTAAGACTTTACGAAATTAGTCTTTGGGGAGGTGAGAAATAATAACCTAACCTTATGTTTATTTATTGACAGTTGAGTGAATGACAATTTCCCACCCAAGTTTGACGTAACTGCGTTTTTCCACTAAAAAACTTTGAGAAAAAAATATTTTTTTACCATTATTAAGATTTGTCTGTAACTTTAATTGACGAAAGACAAGATGATAAATTTACTTATTTAATAAACAAAATTATCTCTCCATATCCTAATCTTTAACATTTCTTAATTCTGATTTGTGATAAAGAGGAAGACCATTTAATCCATCACATCACAAAGGATGACGTTTATATACATATTTAATACTCAAATCTACAAGAAGTTTGTGATAATACAACTGATAAATGTAAATACTTTTAAGCATTATTATAATTTCGTGCTTGAAGTTTATTGGAAATTTCGCATCCTCCTTCAATTTCAATGCAATTTTAATTAAGGAGGAGACCAACTAAAAGAACAACAATGACAATGACATGGTAAACTTTGAAGTTCCCTTTCCTGCAGCTTCGAAACGGTCAATCTAGGTCTCGTAGGAAGCGGGGTTTGATGATGGAAACTCCATCTAGTTATAGCAGGACATATGGGGCTTGAAGCTACAAGACGGTGGAACTTCACTAGGCATGGAAAAATCAACGAAAAATCAAGATCAGGATTAGGACAGGATGACGTAAAGGTATTTTTATCTTTATAACTATACCATGTGAGTTAACATATCTAGCCAATGGATCTTAACATGGATGGAAATTGTTTTTTCTTAAATTTTTTTGGTAGGAAAAAGTAATTGGGCCAGTGTTTTGTTTGCCGCTACAACATGGAGAATAAAGACTCTTTTACGTACATAAAAATTGATTCACATAATGTAATAGATCAATATAAATTGGTTAGGATATTGTTGGCTATTGGAGTGGTTTTATTTCTTTTGACCACATTTACAATCTACTTTTGGTTGTTTTGCAAACGATCCACAAGAACAGTTTTTGCAGATCTAGATATGCAAGTAGCTCCTAACATGCATGAAGATATTCCTCACTTCCCATTTGATCCGGCTTCATCACTACCCTATGAAGCGCACATGTGTATAATTTGCCAAGTCGATTTTACACCTGAAATATTATTGTCATCCATGTCCTGTGGCCACACGTATCACACTGACTGCCTTCAGGAGTATCTGCTACATGCTACAGAATGTCCTTTATGCAGAGAGGAAACCGAGTTTACATGAATATTATTTGTTGTCCTTTATGTAGAGAGGAAACCGAGTTTACATGAATATTATTTGTTTACTTGTAATTTATGTGTTGAAAAAACTTTGTAGAGACGTGTTAAGGTAGTATGTTACAGTAATAAAATTACAAGAATAATCAAACAGTCATTCTTTTTTATTATTTTTTTAAAATAATACATTGTCTTATTTAAATAATACCATCATTCAAATTACTTAATCTCAGTTTCCACAATTACCACCAGGTCCTCCAAAGGTAAACGTCTCCCCAAGTTCGCCACCTTGATAACCAAATGTTTTGACATCATAACAAGCTGTATTATCAACAAATATATCCAGATCAGCTTCTTGCATATCAATCAATTGACCACCTCCAACCATAACTTTCAATTGTGCAAAGAAGCATGATCTCTTGTAATGGTTGTCTGGAAATAAGCCGCTCCCCATTGGTGGACTCAAACCATCAGGAGAATTATACGTCCATCCACCAAATTGAAGAAATGAAGCTCCCTTATCTAAGTGAGTAAAAATCTCCTTTGGCCAATATCCGATTGTTACATTGTTATCAAATGATAACCACCAATTACCTGTTGCTTTATCCTACATATATTATATTATATTTATCAAAAACAATACTAATCTATTTATATATTATTTAAAAAAATATATTGAATTAAAGTGTCAAAAATAATTATTGGTTACCTTGAATACAAAAGGCTGAGTTATATATTGTATTCCATCCCTAATAGATATTTTAGGATAACGTTGACCAAGATGGTAGATAGGATGTACTTGTACAAATCCTGGGCACATGGTATTGTAACAACCAGTAGTATTTTTTGAAGCATCTGCCTATTTATACAACATTAAGAATTTCAACATCAATAAAAATAAAAATAAAAATAAATCCAAAGATTATTAAAAAAGATAAGAAAATTTAATCTTACTGTCCACTATGCAGTTACTCGTGTCTGATTGTCACCATATATACGTGGATGCACCTAAAATATTATCAAACTTGATTATTATATTTATAAAGTTAAATTAGAGATAAAACTTATGTATAGTTGAAAGAATCTTACTGCCCATCCAACTTGTATACTGTTACGTTCAGCTGGTGGTCCATCTTCTAGCCACATTTGAGCCTTGCTAATTTGTAACATTTTTACCTCTGGATTTTGCAAGTCTATTATTGTGCTTGCTCCAGTGTATAAGTAATTTGGATTCGACTCAGTACTTTGAACCGTTGCATACTAAGAAAATCAAATTAATAACACGACATTAATAAATTATAACTCTGCATTTTGTTTTGACATTGAAATAATTTAACGTGATGGCCAACTTACATGAGCGCCAAGTTCTGTACTTGTAAGCGGGTGAATATTATTTTTCCCAAATAGTCCAAGATGTAATTTAGAGAGCGATCTTAAATCAGTCTGCTCGTAATCAACTTTGTTTCTTTGGATTGGAACCTTTCCAGCTGGACAACCTTTACTTTGCCCTCCAAACATTGAATGTGTGGATAATGGTATTTGGCTATTGCTCTTAAATTCAGGAAAGGAACTTGGATTCATCTGCATATATATTATTTTTAAGAGAAAAAAAGAGATATGTAGTGATAAGTCAAACTTTTAAGAAAGATTGTTAGCATTGAAATATTATCAATATATAAAATTTTAATTTTAAGATGATATATGATTCTTAATAAAAAGCTGAGATCATAAAACTCGATAGATGAAATTTTTCTTATACCTGAATCTTGTGATTCTTTAATAACACATGATTAAAAGCAGGCTGTTTGTATATGTCCACGCAGTCATATTGGTCCGCTTCTGCTAGCTACAACACATAAATATATAAATGTAAATAAAAAGGTAACTATTTCTAATCTCTAAAATTTGCTCTAGAATAAAAAACATTTCTTAATGAGGAGTTTACAAATTGTTAGCTTTCATTGTTACCGCATATAATAACATTAACCCATTGGTATAATGTATGACTTTTGTTAGAACTCAAGTCTAAGGGAGAGTCCAACCCAAAAGACAAGCCTGATAGATGGGAGAGCCCTTAGACTTAAGTATCACACTTGGCGGGTATGAGATCTTGTGGGATCCTAACATTGCAACCCCCTTTAATAGCCGACGTCCACGACAACTTTCACTCTATCGACACTGACTTGACGGTAGCTTTTTCCTTCTTTGGGCGGTTTCACTAACCTATTAGTTATTTGATGGAACACCCTCTCCCAAGGGAGAGCTCAACCCAAAAGACCAATCTGATAGGTGGGAGAGCCCCTAAGCTCAAGTACCACACTTGGTGAGTGTGAGATCCCGATATGGGATCCTAACATTGCACCCCCCTTCAAAAGCCGACGTCCACGACGACTTTCACTCTCTCGACACTATTAGATATAGTGTAGAAGAGGTGTCCTGTATGCTTTGAACAGGGGTGAATTTGTGATAGTGTAAAGAAAAAGAACCCAGTTTTCGTGAAGAAAAAAAACAGAGCTGTTTTCGTTCTTTCCTCAGTTTTTCTTTTTTTTTGTTCAATTACAAATTCTCAACAACATCTTTTATGGTATCAGAGCCAAAGACTAACGTCAATGGCGAACACAAACTCTGAATCCCTTACTAACTCTTCCAAGATTGATGTAGAGTAGGTCAATAATGGCGGATCTCCAAGTTTTACAGATCACTCCTCACTACCAAATCTTTCCGTAAAGCTAGTAGAGAAGAATTACAACTACTGGCGCTCTCAAATTGTACCAGCCCTAGCCTCTCACGAGCTAGATAGCTTCATTTTAGGTACGAATCCTTGCCCTTCTCTATTTGTAATGGAGAAAGTTGAAGGTACTGAACATTCAATTAAACAACCAAACCCTACGTATTTCAATTGGAAGAAGACAGATCAGTTTTTAGTGAGTTCGTTGCTCTCATCAATTTCCGAATCCATGTTTAGACATGTATCAAAATGCAATAGTGCATATGAAATTTGGCACACACTTGAGTTACATTTTCAGTCTGTTTCAAAGGCTAGAACACTTCACCTTAGAAATCTGTTACAAGTTACTAAAAAGGAATCACAAAGTATGAATGATTACATTTTAACAATGAAGGAATTAGGCGATGAATTGAATGATAGTGGAGTACACATTGGTGATGAAGAGTTGTTGTTATACATATTGGATGGGTTAGGCTCAGAGTATGATGCAATAGTAGCCAATCTTGTATCCAATGTGAGTCATACGAATTTTCAAGAAGCACAATTTCTACTTCATAAGCATGAAATGCGTTTGGAGAAACAGAACAGTGCATTACTACACTTCCACGAACAGATGTCATCTGCTTTAATGGCTTCTAAAAGTGGCTCAGTTGAAGGACCTACCACTGTTACTCAAACTAGTTCAGGAGGTGTGTTAAATCACTCTCCGGGTGTGATAAACTCAGCAGCAAATGTCTATTCTCAAGCTGGAATGACGACTCACCAAACACAATCTCCTCAGAATGTTAATTTTGGAACTGGATACTCTCAACATTTCAATAGAGTTCCAGGGCCAAATCAAGTAGGACAGTACAGATCTGAGTATGACAGAATGACCTATAATCCTGGACCACAAGGTTACTCAGGTGGTTTTGTGCCTCCACAAGGTTACTCAGGGGGTTTTGTGCCTTTTGTTAGAGGCCGAGGAAGAGGAAGAGGAAGAGGCTATAATAAGCCAAGGTTAATGTGCCAAGTATGTGGAAAGCCTGGACATTCAGCTCTTTATTGCTACCACAGATTTGATCATGATTACAAGGGTTCCCTACAACTGGATTTCCTAATGCAGGACATAATCAATCATATTCTGGTCCTGGTTCAACTCATTCACCGTTTTCAGTAGCATCCAATGAATCTGCACAAGCACAAGCTCTGTTTGCTGGAACAAATGTTCAGGATAGATCCTTCCATATGGATGCTGGAGCTCATCATGATTACAATTCTTATGGTTGTCCTCTAGGAAATCAGTTTAAACCTGGATCTGTTAATACAACCTATCTTCCTCAAGGAGTTAATCAATATCAGCAGCAATCTATTGGCTCTCTAGTAAATAATGTATATGTTAATCATGCTGGAAATCTTGATGTGAACTTAACCTCAGGTTCTCAGATGGCCACTCCACAAACTGTGAAGGATCAGTCCTGGTACATGGACTCAGGAGCCTCCAATCACATGGTTGCTGAATCATCCAATATGTTGAACAGAACCAATTATTCAGGAGGATCCAAGGTTCAAGTTGGCAATGGAGAATCTCTGCAGATCACTCATACAGGTACATTGTTACTCCCCTCACTTAACTCAAACAGACTTGTGCATCTTCGAAACATTTTATGTGTTCCAAAAATTGCCAAGAACTTATTGAGTATATCACAAATAACAAGAGATAATAATGTGATAGTAGAGTTCTATTCTGATCATTGTGTGATAAAGGATAGAAGCATCAACTTGATACTTCTTCAAGGTACAGTCAAGGATGGCCTGTACCATTTGGATGTTCCTTCTTCTGCTGCTGGTGTTCCTACTGACGGTTCCAATTCTGGTGGTATACCTAGCCCTCCAACGCTCTCCAGTGATAAACCAAAAACTTCTTTCCCTTCAGTTGTCAATAAGTCTGTCGTTACTTCCTTTGTATCAAATAAAGTTTATGCTTGCAATGTGTCTGATGATGTATCTGCTTCTTCGTTACTGTGGCATGCTCGACTTGGGCACCCTAGTGCTAAGTCTTTACAAGTTGTATTAAATAAAATGCTTGTAAAACATTCTTTTGATTACAATGCAAGTTCTATTTGTGAAGCTTGTTTGTTTGGGAAGTTAAAGCAATGCAGTTTTCCTATTTCTTTATCCTGAGCAAAGGCCCCATTGGAGTTAGTACATTCTGATTTGTGGGGGCCTGCTCCAATATTATCCAGAGAAGGGTATCGTTATTACATCATCTTTTTGGATGATTTCAGCAGATTTACTTGGATTTATCCCCTTAAAGTCAAGTCTGAAGCATTTGAGGCGTTTATTCAGTTTCACACATTTGTAGAGAAACAGTTCAATACTAGGATTAAAAGCCTACAAACTGATTAGGGTGGGGAATTTCGGTCATTTTCTAAGTATCTCAGTCAACATGGTATAATGTTCAGGCACCCCTGCCCTTATTTACACCAGCAGAATGGAAGAATAGAAAGAAGGCACAGGTCTATCACTGAGTTTGGACTCTCTCTGCTAGCTCATGCTCATATGCCACTCAATTTCTGGTGGCTGGCCTTCTCTACAGCAGTATATCTACTTAACAAACTACCTTCCAATGTGCTTGAGTTTGTATCTCCTCTCACTGTTTTAATACATCAAGAACCTAATTACCATGATCTTAGAGTCTTTGGGTGCAGTTGTTTTCCATATCTCAGACCCTACTCTCATTTCATACTGAAAAGTGCATATTTATAGGTTATAGTCTGTCTCACAAAGGCTATAAGTGTATGTCAAAGTCTAGGAGAATCTTTGTTGCAAAACAGGTGAAATTTAATGAAGAAGAGTTTCCCTTTAAATCTGGTTTTTCTGATGCTGAAAATTCTGGTTTTTTTGGTTCTGTTTCAAATTCAGAATCTTCTGTAGTTCCTTTAAGATCAACATCTAGCTGGTTTATTCCTGGTCAGATAGAAGCTTCTTTCAATAGGAATACTGACACAAATGCTACTGTAGAATTACCTACTGAATATTTGGTTGATACTAGCAGAGATGTGAATGTAAGAACAGGGCCTTCCAGCAGTTTTAACAACCAGAATATAACTGCAGATTTACCTACTGTATTTCCAGTACATGAGTTAGGTGTATCTATTCCTGGTCAGACAGAAGCTTCTCTCAACAAAAATACTGACACAAATGCTACTGCAGAATTACCTATAGAATATCTGGTTGATACTAGCAGAGATGTGAATATAAAAACAGGGCCTTCCAGCAGATCTAACAACCAGGATACAACTGCAGATTTACCTTCTGCAGGTCCAATACATGAGGCTGGTGTTTCTATACAACCTTCAGTTCTGACATCTTTAGATAACACACTTACAGCTCATCAGGGGATTAATTTGGAAGTAGTACTGCCCATAACAGCACCAAATACTGTTGTTTCTGCTGCTAATATACATCCTATGGTCACACGACTTATATCCAAAAATATCCAGTCATCAGCTAAAGCCCCCTCACTACTCACACGATTCTCAAAGAACCTCAGCAGGTTAAAAAGGCATTATCTATTCCTGAATGGAAGACTGCTATGGAGAAGGAATATCAAGCTCTTCTTGATAATCAAACCTAGGAATTGGTTCCATATGAGGAAGGGATGCACATAGTGGGCTGCAAGTGGATTTTTAAAACTAAGCTCAATGCTGATGGGACCCTACAGAAGTATAAAGCTAGGCTGGTGGCTAAAGGGTTTCAACAAACCCTTGGGCTAGACTACTTTGATACGTTCTCGCCAATGGTCAAGGCTGCTATAATTTGAATAATGTTCACTTTGGCAGTCCATTACAGCTGGGATATTCATCAGTTAGATGTGAACAACGCATTTTTAAATGGGGATCTTACGAAACAAGTGTTTATGATGCCTCCTGAAGGTTTTTCTCCTCCCACTCATCCTCCACAAGTATGCAAACTTAGAAAGGCATTATATGGTCTAAAGCAAGTCCCTAGGGCCTGGTTTGATAAATTGTAAACAGCCCTTCTGTCTTGGGGATTTAAAAACAACACCTCTGATGTGAGTTTGTTCTTCTACAATGTTGGATCAGTTGCAGTGTATCTATTGGTGTATGTTGATGATATTTTAGTCACTGGAAATGCTCCTGATCTTATAACTAAAGTAATTCAAGACTTGAACAGTAAGTTTGCATTGAAGTTGATGGGTCCAGTTCATTTTTTCCTTGGATTCGAAGTTGCAAGAAATGCTTCTGGTCTC